TTGAATTATCCTTCGGAAAGGAAGACTTCCATCTTTTCCCAGACCTGACCCCACTGTGCACCAAGTCCACAGATTCACTCTTCCCCCACAAAACCACGCACAAGAGAACATTTCCATGTGGGTGAGAGGGACTACCGGATTTTTACCCCCATCCTGGGAACATCGGACTGAGAACTTGCCCGGTGGCAAATAATTTGTGAGGTTTGATACGACCAAACACTAACCTGCAAATGTAATGTGCAATGTGTGGGGGAGCTGGGAAGTGAATGGATCATTCTGAATACTGAAGGTGGACCTGAAGAGAGGGGCAGATGGTGTAGCTCAGCTGGTAGAGCGCTTGCCCAGCACAAAGCCCTGGGTTCCATCTTCAGCATCATATAAATATAAACGTGGGTTGGCACATGTAATCCCAGCACTTGGGAGGTAGAGGCAGGAGGATCAGATGTTCGAGGCCATCTTCAGCCACATTGTGAGTTGGACAGCCTGAGTTACCTGAGACCCTGCCTCCAAAAAAATAAAAAATAAAAAAGAAAGAAAAGAAAAAGAAAAAAGAAAGGGAACTGTCTGCACAAGACAGCGAACTTGGTCAAGGCAGTGAATTGTCGTAAGTAACATAAACTTTGAAAATACTTGTTGGAATGAAAGGCCGGAGGGTGGACATAGTTCTGCTGCAAATGCCCGTGGTCACAGACACAGGGTCACAGTGGCAATGGGACCAACGTGCAAATAAAAGCCAGGAAGTCGTGTTCCAGGTGGAAGGTCAAACCTTCCTTCCTCAGGAGTCCAGACTACACACATTAGAAGCAGGTTCTGGACCGCCACTGCACTGTCCCCAAGCCATTTGTACCTCCTTTACTGTCCCCTGGTATAAGAGCCTGTGGCTGAAGCAGAGATTTCCAAGAAGGAAAGAACCTGGAGAGAACTTCTGGGTAGTCCCCGCCTAGCCTCAGCTGCATAGGTGCTGCCCAAGTGGTCAGCACCGTGTGACCCAGGGGCTGCAGTCTCTGGCCCGGGCTATGGGGTGGCCAGAGGAGACCTGACCTCCTGGCCGGGGTGTGAGATGAATGTTGGGGACAAGGACTGGGGATCTCAGAAAGGCTGTAAACCATGTTTACCAAATCTGGGGGGCAGGGACTGTCTGAGCAGACCATCGTGTGGGAAGGTGTGCAGGTGGAGGAGGCCCTCCCTGGCCCCCAGCCCCTGCCTGCCCCCACTTAACCTGACTGCCCACTGTGGCGGCTGAGGCCCTGCCCGGTCTCTGCCTCCCATGCTTCTCCTTTACTAGCACAGCCTGACACATTTTATACACGTGCTGGCAAGGGAGGAACAGAACATGGAAAATAAAGTGAAGAATACTGTCGCGTCCTGTTTGTAATTTGAACTTTGCGGTTTACGTCTTGCCTGTAACTTCTCTTGTCATTTGAAACAGTCTTGTGTAGCCCAGGCTGGTCTCAAATTCACTGTATGGCAGAGGATGGCCTAGAACTAACTTCTGATTCTCCTGCCTCCACCTCCCAAGTGCTGGGCTTCCAGGTGTGCACCGCTATGCTCGGTATGTGCAGTGGTGGGGATCAAACCCACGGTGCTGTGCATGCTGGGCAAGCACTCTGCCAGCTGAGCTTCATCCACAGCCCTGAGCTATGGATTCTCTTTTTATGGGATTTTTCTTTTAGTATAGCCCAAGTCATCCTTGACCTTGCGGTAACTCTCCTGTCTCAGCCTCTTGAGTACTAAGATTACAGGCATGTGCCACCACACGCTGAGCTTAGAACAAATCTGTGTGTGTGCTTGCGTGTGCGTGTTTGTGGGGGGGAAGCGCACGCCGCAGTGCACAGAGGACACGTTTGTGGAGTTGAGTCCCTCTTTCCACCTTTATTTGGATTCAGGGGATTGAACTCAGGAAGCCTGTTTTGTATGACAAGCACCTTTACCTGCTGAGCCATATCACCAACCCCAACCACCTTATTTTTTTGAGACAGAGTCTCTCACTGAACTTTGAGCACACCCATTGGATAGACCAGCTGGCTAGTGAGTCCTGGGGACCTACTTGTCTCTGCATCCCCCACAGCTCTAAGGTTAGATATATGTGTTACCACCCCTGTCTTCTGTGTGGCTGCTGGGGATCTGAACTGGGGTCCTCATGCAGACGGAGCTGTCTCCTGAGCTCTGAACAAACCTTTCCAAGGATGAAAATGTGTGGATCTAGGCCAACATTGTGAACAAACTGCCTGTGAGCACATTTTTAGATCTATTTTTATTCTTTTTAATTATGTGTGGGTTTGTGTATGTGTGCACGTGTGCATGCGTGCGTGCGGGCACAGGGGTATGTACACATGGATGCAAGTTTGCCCACAGAGGCCAGAAATGTCAGATCCTCTGGAGCTGGGGTTATAGAGGGTAGTGAGCTGTCTGATGTGGGTGCTGGGGACTAGTTAGTCCTCTGGAGGATCAGCAAGTGATCTAAACCACTAAGCCAGCTTTGCAGCTCCCTCTGAACTAATGTGAAAAGTGGGTCCCTCTCAGTGATGCACCCCACTACAAGAGTCAGGGCTTATGGGGAGAGGGTGAGCTAGACTTAGGCCCCTCAAGCTGCTGCATCAACAAGGGCTCTGCCAAGCCCTTCACCTACAGTCTGATTGGTTGATTGATTGATTGATTTGCATAGTTAGTAGGTTGGTTGGTTAGTTAGTTGCTTAGTTAGTGTGTGCCATGGCCCCTGTGTGGAGGTCAGTACTCTCTTTCCCCCAACCAAGTGGACCCAGAGATCACACTCATGTCATTAGGCTTTATCCACTGAGCCATGCTGCTAGCCTCTATTTTTGGTTTTAGCCGAAAGTTTTAGAATTGAGTGATTCTTTAACTTGAGTGAACCGATGCTACCCCTGTTCATACGCCTTACCCATCAAGTGTTCAGATCCCATTTTTGCCCTTCATGCTGGCAGCAGTAGAGATCTGCCCGAGACACACACTTGCTGGAGAAAATGAAGGCCAAAGGCAGAGACTAGAGAATTGTCTTTTAAAGGAATTTTTCCAGGTGTGGTGGCATACACTTGTAACCCTAGCATTTGGGAAGCAGATGCAGGATAGTGAGTTCAAGGCCAGCCTGGGCTACATAGCAAGCTCTTGTCTCATAAAAGAAAAGCAGGGAGGAAGTCAGCTAGATGGTAGTTCACGCCTGTAATCCCAGCACTTGGGATGCTGAAGGAGGATCCAGAGTTGGAGGCTAGCCTAGACTAAACAGTGACACTTTATATCAAAAAGAAAAAGAGGATTTAAATGCTGTATGTCCTTGAGGGAAGCATAAGGCAGCTGTAAAAATAAATACAATGCTGTTTCTAAAGCACTGTTACATTATGGCAAGCTCCTAAGGCTTGCTGAAATGGTGGATGCAGGACCTATCTTTTTGTTTAAAAGGCGTCCAGAGATGGGAAGACAGCCACTCCACCTTCTTGGTGCAGTAGTTTGGGGAGAAATGGAATGTAAAGCTTTGTTTATGTTGCATGAGCAGTCCACTTATAAACCATGCCCCCAAGCTCCACTGAAAGATTCCAGGCAGGAGCTCCATCACTGAGCCCCACCCCAGCCCCTTACTGGTGGATTCCAGGCACAGGCTCTGCCGTGGAGCCACACTCCCACACCCTCACTTGTGAGTTCTGGGCAATAGGGACCCAACCACTGAGCCAGGTGCCCAACCCTCTTACTTCTTTTGAGACATGATTTTTGCCCAGGCTGGCCCGAAACTTACTCTGTAGCCCAGGTAGTCCAGGATTCCTGACCCTCCTGCCTCAGCCTCCTGGGTGCTAGAAATACGGGTCTGCACCATTACGTTCAGCCCCCAGTAGCAACTACTGCCCTTTGCTTCTAAAGCAAATGGCTGGCAGACTGCTGAGTGACCGACTAGTAAACAGAGTAGAGCTTAAATTGCCCATGTGTGAAGAAACCAGAGGGCTAGCCCCTGCACCTGTCTCAAGATGCTTCTGCTCTGAGGACAATGGTACCCTGGCTCTGCCTGTACTGTGGCTTGGTTGGACTGTTCTGTTACTGCTGACCTCAGTCTTGACAAGCGGTCACAAACTTGCTAGAAGGGAATACTTTCATTAATTTTTTATTGACGTATATGTGTGTGGTGTGTCTGTATGAGCACATGCCACATGTGTGCAGGTGCCTACCGAGGGCAAAAGAGGGTGTCAGATCCCCTGGAGCTGGAGTTATAGGTGGTGGTGAGCAGCCCAATGTGGGTGCTGGGTACCAAACTCCAGTCTGGAAGAGCAGTGAGTGCTCTTGACTTTGGAACCATCATCACTCCATCCCATAGGAATGAGTCATTTTAGAGCAGTTTCAACAAAATAATATGGATAAAATCTAACGGACGTCAAAAAAGAAAAAAATAATGTTTGGCACTAATGCAACTCCGCTGTCTCTCATGCATATCTCTAAATGGTGTGTACAAGGAAGATATCCCCCCAATACACTCATGTAACAGCTAGCCTGGCTTGTTGGCACAGCCTCCCAGCCCTGCTCTCCGAAACCTGAGGCCGGAGGGTGGCAAATCCAAGGCCAGCCTGGGGGCTATGGAGAGACAGCTCATCATCACGGTCACCTGCTTAATTCCTGCTCTGCTGGCCATAGGGGCCTCTGTCAGTGACAGGACCATCTGTCGACCCAGCGAACTTCTAGAAGCTTGCACTTGGTGTCAGCTTCCCTGCACTCACCAATGGGGGCAGAGAGCACACAGCCAGCTCTAAGGTGCCAGTCATTTCAGGACATTTGTGATTTTGTGAGTCTGGGAATAACTCAGTGCACACACAGTAGCTTTGGGTGACTCTTGAGTCTGCTGGAGTCTCCCAGCTGTGGACATGAGCTATCTGTCCTTCAGAAACCACCCACACACCCGGGCTGAGTAGCATTGTTGTGTGACAGAACTCTTTCGGGGGAGACACAATACACCCCAGATAGGTATTTTACAACAGATCAATGTACGGATACCACCAAAGTCCGACCTGGTCAACGGCTGAGTTTTATTGGGGTTACTTGCAGGAATACCGGTGAGGGGTTAACTTACAGGAAAAGAAACAACTCAAAGGCAGCTGCATCACCAAAGCGCACCTCAGCATGGGTGACGGCTCACACGTCTGGGAGCCTGGAGCACACTGCACAGCCTGCAGGCAGCTCAGCAGGCTGGAGAGCGTCCTTTCCAAGTGACTGCTCGAAATCTCTTCCAGGCAGCTCAGCGGGTTTCTACATCCAGGCAGCCGATCTTGTCCTGGAGTCTCCTTCGCTGGTCCGTTCTGCGGGTCACAGAGGGGACACTCCGTTTTTATTGCTTACTCTGGCAGGAGGGGCCTAGTGAATCTGGTCAGTTTCAGGGACTTCCCGGAGCTATTTTGAGGTGTTTACTTCCTGCTTAAGGGGCTTCCTGCAGCATGGAAGGTTTTAATCTCGGAGGAAACTGTTATATAACACCTTCCTTCCTCATGTGTTCCTCTTCTGAGCCTCGGAGAGGGTAACTATAGATGTCCACCTATGACTAAGTGTGGCCACCATGCCACGGTAACAGTCACTTGTTCTCAGGAGCTTCACCAGTAGTTGGGTTGAGGCCAATGACAACAGATGACAGCAGTGATCTCTGGGCTGAGTGCACATGTTTAGAAGGCAGTTTGACAGGCACATCACATCCATCTAGAAAAACCATAGAAGCTGCTTCCTCATTGGGACCTATGATTGCTCCTAGCTACAGGTTTTTGTCCTGGCTTACAGTACTAGATGTGAAATCCCTCCCGATGAGCGGGCCTTACATCCACCTGGAAGGCTGTTGGTTTTACCCACCATAGCCCGGCCGTTATTGCACAATCCAGCACCTCCTGCCTGGCCTGTCGGTGTTTCAGCATGCAAGGTCCATAGCCGAGCAGGGATGCTGGGGACAGTTCTCCACTAGCTGCCTGCACGGCCCCTTCTGGCATCGTGAAAGCCAGTCGGCAGGGTGGGAGTTTCCAGTTCAACCCAGCTTAATTCCTTCATGTCACACAGTCAGAGCATGCGCACACGGTGTCTTCGGCAGCAGGCTCTTACTATCTAGTTCTGGGGAACAACCTACAACAGTAGCCACAGCCTTTATGGTTTGTGGGGCCTCGGGGGTTTTCCTGGCCAACAACTCAGAGAAGGCGGCCCACCCCTGGTGGTAGGGTATTGGTGAAATTATTAAGGCTACTCCACGTAGTTAAAAGGGAGATTTATTTAGTGGGTAACTTACAAATGAAGGGATAGGTAGGTGGCGGGTTCTGGAAAAGACGCAGCGCAGTCCGGTGGCGGTGTTCTCTGGAGAACTCACCTTGGTCTACCTCTAGTGTCCAGGTCCAGGAAACAAGAGAGCACGGCGCGTCCAGATTGGGTCTTCAGGGCCCTCCCTTGGCCCCGCCTTGTAGGCGTGACAGTTACTGAAGCCTCAATGGGGGTTGGAACTTCCAGACCAAAGCTGGAATGGCTGCTCACTACTGTAGGGTAGTCATTCAATCACCTTATAGCCTCTGGGAGTGTCCATTTCCACCCATGTAGCATATCTTTGGATTTTTTTTCCTTTTAATTAACCCAATCCAAGCAGGGTTGGAAGTTAAGTAGAAATCCCATTGCATCTGATTGTCTCTCAGTGGTTTGCCAAATCTGCGAAACACTCCGGAGTTAGCATTATGTCATCTCTAGAACAAAACCTTTTCCAGAGGATGCAGGACGAGGCCACATCCTGAACCTCCATCCCGTAACGAAGATAACATTGGTGAGGCGCTCTGAAAGTCTGTTGTCATCTGTCCTAAGCAAGTGTCAGGTGATCCCGGAGGTTAACAACCAAGAAGGTACTGACGTCAAACATAAGCAAGGTCTAATACAGCATGGGCGCTCCAGCCATTTAAATCAGTTGCTCCCTCTGCAGATCATGGTTGGGTACAATTAGCTCCCTGTAATCTTTAACTATTCTCTCCAAGCCAGTACATTGCCATGTCCTGGAGGTCTTCCATGGAGCATCCCTACATGTCTCCACCCGTGATAAACTCAGTGGGGCCTCACTTAATCTGCTCAGCCCTACTCAGGGCCAACGGTAAATGTGGCCCTGCTTTGCCTGGCTGTACCTGATGGCTCCCTCAGTCAAAGGGGCCTTGGGTTCCCACTGTAGCTGTAACCCCCCCCCACTCCCCCCGTTCACCACACCTGGCTCTCGGGGGAGTTCCTGACTAGGAAAGCGTCTCCACCCCTAGCATACCATTTTGCTGGAGGGAAAATGTACCCTCCTTAGTCTTGGGGGGGGGGGGGATATTACTCACCCCTGGGACAGGCTTGATTGTCTTCACTTATACTGCTCTATCATGGATTGTTGCTAGAGTTTTCCTGCCTTGCCCACAGTCAGGACAAATCTTTGTCACCCGCAGTCCCACAATCCACTTATAAAATAATCACTCAGACGCTTATATCACTTATAAACTGTATGGCCGTGGCAAGCTTCTTGCTAACTGTGCTTATAGCTTAAATTAGTCCATTTCCATAAATCTATACCTTGCCACGTGGCTGGTGGCCCACCGGCATCTTCACATGCTGCTGGTCATGGCGGCATCTGGCAGTCAGTCCTTCTGCCTTCCTGTCCTTTTATTTCTCCTCTCTGTTAGTCCCGCCTATCCTTCCTGCCTAGCCACAGCCGATCAGGTTTTATTTATTGATCAATCAGAACAACTTGACATACAGACCATCCCCCAGCACAGCCAAGTGCAGACCATCTCAGACACCTGCACTCAGGCCCATGGTCCTAATCATCCTCTATGCGGACCTGCTGGGTAACGCCACAAAGAACCCAAGAAGGGCTCCCACAGGACATACAGAACATCCCACAGCAATGGATGTCTTCTGTGAACTGCTCCTCAGGCTTTCTGGCCTTCCAGACACACAATTTGGCTTCCTATCAGTTTTTTTTCACCCCTGCAGGAACTCCTGCTGGACACAAATCTTGCCACATTTGTCTTTAAGTAATGCAGACTCTTCCTCCGGCTTACCTTTGCTATCTCCTCTAGGTTGCTCTCTTGCTTTATGGACTCTCTTCTCACGCTGGTCGGAGTCACTGAGATCTGCCAAAGCCTTTCCTACTTTATAAAGATCTTACCCCGCACCAGCAGACTCAGCAAAGCCACTAAAGGTCCACCCTACCCCTGCTGGGTCAGCCTTGTCTTTAACTCCTCTGTGAACGCATTTCTCTCTGGTCCAGTGAACTGGGGTTCAAACACAGCTTCTCTTATCCCTAGTTCCCTCAACAGCATCTGCCCCTCCTCTCTGGTCCTCCTACCCCTGATATTTATGGGGACCTCAGATGAAGGTAACCAAGTGTTCCTAATGGCTCTGATAAGCTAGTCCCAGAGGGACTGACTTCCCTCACACTGTCTCAGGTTATGCCGCCTTTTCTTTAGGGAGGGATGGGTAGTCGTATGACTCAGTTTTCCTGCCTCCACAGCAGTCAGACCGATCTCGTTCACCACCATGTCCCACAGCCTCAGAAGCCAGGTGGCAACAGGCTCTTTCATTGTTTAAAAGTCTTCCCCGGTTCCAGCAGCTCAGGTGCTGAATATTCCTTAATTATCAACCTGGACCATTGTTAATGCCCCCGTCTGCAGGACGGATTACAGATCCCCCTTTTTCTATTACCTGAGGTGTATCTTCTATTGCTTTTGTGATGTTCTACTCCTCCTCCTCACTCACTGGATCTTCCCTGGATTCCAAGTTCTTGGATCCCTGGACGGGCTTTTGAGCATGGATCTAACTTGTATTCTCTTTTCTTTCCCGCCCCAAGCCTTAAGAAGGGGCAAGCCAACCCCTCCATCTCACCCTCTCCTTTATCTAAGTTACTTGCCGGAGTAGAGGCTCACACGGAGGATGCAGCCACATCTCTCTCTTGTTACAGTCGCTTCTTTACATGAATAAGTTCCTGCTTGACAGCCACTTCAGATGCGTTTCTGTCTACACAACAGGGGCCAGGCGACCTCTGCTGCTGCTGCCCATAATCTCAACTCTTGTGCACTAATCTCAAAGACCGAAAGCTTTCTTCTACACCTTTACCTGTTTTCAGGGGATCTCCATATTCACACGGCGGACCCCACTCATCAAGTAGGCATGCCACCCCACACCACACAGACGAAGACTGCTATCCTGAGATTTCTCCCACAGACACTCCTGATCCCGATGGCTCAGCCTTAGTTGCATGTCTCATTATCTATAGCAAGAACGATGCAACCCGCCGTCGTGAACAAAGGCACACGAACACACACCACCGCACAGGAAAGGACAGCTCTCTCGGAATTTCCTCTGCAGATGCTGCCCCCCTCAGGCTGTTTAGCAGCAATCTCAGTTGCATGTCTTGCTACCCATAGCCAGGGCCGCGACTCACTCCTCCCCAACTCATCTTTGGTCCTGTCCTGTCCCTCTCCAGGCGCCAATTATGCTGTGTGACAAAACTTTTCCTGGGGAGACACAACACACACATCTACTCAGACCCCAGTCCGGATACCACCAAAGTCCAACTTGGTGAGCCAATGGGCTTCATCGGAGTTACTTGCAGGAATACGGGTGAGGGGTCACTTGCAGGAGCGGAAATGACTCAAAGACAGCTGCAGGGGAGCACCCTGCACAGCCTGCAGGCAGCTCAATAGTTTGGAGAGTGTCCTTTCTAAGTGACTTTGTCTAAACCTCTTCCAGGCAGCTGGGCTGGTTTCTGTATCTTCCAGGGAGCTGGTAACAAATGTCCACACCAGCTCAGTTTCCAGGACTTGCACAGGGAAGCAAGAAGCCTGGCATAGTGGAGTGCTGACCCATGTCCCTAGATTGGACAGACAACTGTAGTGCCAGTTTATTTTACCTGAATTTTAGATCTATTTATTTTATTTTATGCCTGTGTGTGTGTGTGTGTGTGTGTGTGTGTGTGTGTGTTGTCTGCATGTATGTCTGTCCACTATGGTCATGCATGGTGCCTGTGGAGTCAGAAGAGAGCACTGGATCCCCTGGAACAGAAGCTACAGATGGTTTGAGCTGCCACATGGGTGCTGCTGGGAACCACACCCGAGTCCTCTGCAGAAGCAGCAAATGCTCTTATAACCACGGAGCCTGTTCTCCGGCCACTGTAATGCCAGCTGGAGAAAGAAATGCAAGCGCCTGTGGCCAGGATGTAGCTCGGTTGCTGGAGGACTTATCTAGCATGTAAGAAACCCTGGGTTTGATCTCCAACTCCAACACCTCGTAAACTGGGTACAGTGGCACATGCTTGTGA